ATATATATATATATATATATATAGATATATAATGCTATATATTAGTATTCAGTATATATATTAAAATTGAGTTTCCTTTTCTTCAAACAGGAAAAATTGTGGTCGCATAAGTGTTTCACTTTTGTTTATTATTCAGAAACAAGATAATTCTGCATACCATAATATATTAATAACATATACATCTTTGATCCTGAAGTCATGTTGCACTGTTCTTTAAAGCTAAATACACTGCAAAAAATTGCTGTAATTTGTACACCAAATTTTGATGCACTTTTTTTTCCGCACCGGTGTTATAATGTTAAATAAAATCAATTTTTGCTGCGAAATCTGTTGTTTTTGTTACGTGTGTCAGATAACCAATCGAAACGATTTCTGCCAATAGAAACGAGAACTGAAATAATTTGCCGCCATTTTCAGTTTGTTTTAAAACATTCGCCGTGGTTAGATTTTATATTTTACCTAATACTAATTAACTTTTATATTATAATGGCGGTGCGGGTTAAGAATCAATTGAATTCTGTTAAAGTTAAAGAATTCCCTGGTTTTGAGGCAAAAAATTTATTTTTAAAGTTAGAAAACTAAAAACAGACTATATGTTATTTGAGTAATGATATAAGAAAAACGATCTACTTTAGAAGATTTGGTTTATCAATTATTCAAGAAAATTGTACAGATTGTCAAGTGAGTTTCTTATTGTTATTTCCAATTTTTTAATATTATTTGTGTAGAATGCAGTACTTATATTAAGGATGAGTTAATTAGAATTTCTTTGCAGAAAACAAATAAAGCGATTAAATGAAAAACGTGTACAGTATGTTTAAATACACTATTATTTGCACGCGTAAGCAAAATTATTTGTTTATAATGACTTATTATGGCTTTCATCTATTTAGATTTTTGCTGTATTCTGATAGTAAGGTTTCGAACTTAAGCTTGATTCTTAATAATTGTATTTAATGAGATTATGTATAAGGTTTTAAGTAAATATCCTATCATCTTCAATATTCAATGATAACGGAAGATATTTGCCCACGTTATTTTTTAAAAATATCAGGTTTATTTTTTTATGACAGTGTCTCTTTAATTAAAGTTTTTAAGCATACACCTTCAATATACAATGATCTCTTACGTAGCACGTATTCACGCTCCAAAATAGCAGAAATATTTCAAACTAAATTTTACTACTAAAGTAGATCCTCAATTTATTGGTAATGGTACAACCGGGCTCCAGACAGCATGAAGGCTACTGATCAATGAAAAAAAAATGGTAAAAGCTCATTTACTGACATTTGAAGGGAGGATTGTTGATCCAAGTAGGATTTTGTAGCAAGAGATTGTTTTCATTTACGTTGCAAAATTTTCAAAATTGGTGGTTTTTGGATTATAAGGTGCATGCATGAATGGCTTGCTCTTTTTCATGACCCAAATCCTCAGGAAAATGTCAAAGGCTCTTCTGAGTAAGACTGAATATTAAAAAAAAAGAAACAGTTTCAGTCTGCGGCAGAATTACAGACAGCCATCATGGTTGATACTTGACATAATATTGATGCTATTGTCCTTCTGGGATTAGTAAAGTGTTAGCAGATCTTATATTTTCAGTCGTATAAAAATATGACAGATATATTGGAAGTGACTTCATTTCCATGGGATACTTTTTTCCTCAACTTTTACTTATTGAATGTTTTTCCTGTCCAGGAGGAGCAGGAAATCTGCCAA